AGGGAGGGAGGGAGGGATGGCTGCATGGACCTGTGGTGGCATGTGGGGAAGGATGGATGGGTGGTGGGTGAGCGGATGGGAAGGAGCAGGCAGGTGTACAGCCTCAGCGGGGGCTCAGCGGGGGGGTGGATGGAGGGCTTTATGACAAAGCTCCTCCTCCTTAAGCCCTATCCCACTTTCTGGAGACTCTTCATTGGCGTCTCATCTTTGATTGTTCCCTGGGATATAGAGTTGAGCAAGACCCTTGCAGCTTCTTTGTGCCCATGGTCTGGTGGGGGACAGGGGATTGAAGGTGCCCTCCCGGGCCAGGCAGGCAGAGGCGGAGCGAGCTGCGTGCAGGATGCTGCCCTCGGCTCAGGTGGCGTTTGGTGCAGGAGGCAGACTTGAGCCCAGATGTTTCACATTTGTTGCAGAGAATGCCGTCCATGTCGGGAGACGTGGCCGGGGTCAGGGTGACATGGAGGGGGCCAGGCTCTCGGTCAGGAAGACTAATGAACCTGCCTGAGCCTGGGCCCCGCGGGCACATGAAGCAAACCCACCGCTGGCTGGAGACAGCCCCTGCCATTTCTGGCTTTTCATGGATGATACTGTATTTCCCCTGGGAGAGCTGGCTCGGCTCATATATCAAAAGCTGATGTAATTATTTCCTCCCACTGAGGAAGGCTTCCATTTAGCTCTCTCCAACCCCCGCCCCCCTTATTAATTATCTAATTACAACCACATTCTCCAAAAGAGAGCAGCCTTTGACTTTCTGCCCAGGACCACTTAAAAAGGCTTAAATATTTGGAGTGCTCTGAACTTGAAAAAAAGAAGTGTGTGTGTGTGTGCGCGCGCRCACACGTGTGCACTAAGTGTGCATATGTGCATGTGTGTTTGCATGTGCWTGTGTGTGCCAGTGTGTGTGCGAGTGTGTGTCTGTGCACATGAGTTTTAGGGAAACCTCTCAGCCTTGTCAGACCCCTGTCTTGATTCAGTGGGGAAATGGCACCCGGGAGCCTGTGAAAGTCCCCAGCAGAGCTCAGGTGCCCTGGAAGGACAAGGCCATAACTCTGGATCATGGTACAGTGACCTGGAAGGGTGTGTGCTGACACTCAGCAACACGTGGCAGTCGGACATGACCTTGGCCACAGCCACAGCCTGGGGCGGGTGCTGGGTGGGCTGGGCTCGGGCGCCAGGGCCTTCACCTGGAGCACATTCCCAGCACGCTCGCGGGTCCCCGCACAGCTGTGCCGGGCGCCCCTGCTGCCCCCTGTGCTCCTCCCACTGTGGCTCGCACTGGGCCTACGGCAGCTCACCCGCTGAAGTCTGGGAGGCGTCAGTCCGTCATCTTGCCAGCACATCTTCAGGGAGCAGGGGGTGGGTGCAGGTGAGGCCTCAGGGTCCCGGATTCCGGGTCACCCCTCTGCCTGGGTCCCCTCTCCTTGGGGCCCACCGTTCCGTCACAAGCACATTCAGAGCAGACCTGCTGTGGAGCGCAGGCATTGTGTCTGTGTGTGCACATGTGTGTATGGTGGTGTGGAGCATGTGACATGGCCTTGTCCCTGGCTGGTTCCCACCTGCTGCCCATGCAGCTGGGGAGAGAGGCTCCTGTAGCTCCCCAGAGGGTCCTCACCAGGACGCTCAGGGACCCGCGGGCATGAAGCCAGTCAGGCCCTGCGCACTTTGACTGGCCCTGTGCGTGTTTAGAGACCAGTTGTGGCACGAGGGGACTTTGCGGTGATGGAAGAGTTGGGTGTGCTGGTGACAGTCGGGGTGCAAGAATCCGCACATGTGATGGAACTGCCTAGAGCCCCCCCCCACCTCTCACACACACACCAGGCACATGATAAGCTCTTGGACAGTGCTGACTGGACTCCTGGTTGTGCCTGTGGCAGGTGCACGTGATGGTGCCGTCAGGGCCGCTGTGAGACGCATCTGCCTCTCCTGTCCTGTCCCCACCCCTTCTCCTGCATGTGGGATCATTTCGAYAGTACACTAGCGCTGTCCCGTGTCTCTGTGTCCTCATCCCCTGACCCCAGCCCTGGACGCCCATCACTACCAGAAGTGCCAGCCGCTGCCTCCAGGCTGCCCAGTGTGTCCACCCAGAGTAGCCCTTCCCCACGCGCAGCCGGCTGAGGGAGGCTTGTGGAGCCCGAGGGCTGCAGCAGCCCCAGGAGTCGGGTGGGRGTCAGTCTTTAGGGGGTCCGGGAGCTCTGGCCTGGCCTGGACCGTGGGGGCAGCAGGGTGTTGGCAGGGGCCACCTGTGAAGTTTCATCCAGAGGAGGCCTGAGGCAGGACAGCCAGGTCTCCGTGGGCTCCCCAGGAMGCGGGACGCTGAGCAGGCCCAGCAGCTCACCCCTCTCTCTGTCTTCCAGACCCACCTGCGTGTCTGAGGCCCAGCGGAACTGGGCGGTCCACACCTGTGGCTTCTGAACCTGGACAGCACCGTGGCGGCCCCTGCGCTCCAGCGGTGTGCAGAGGGGGACAGCAGCAGGGGCAAGGCCGGAGCCCCTCCTCCCAGAGACCCCCGCACGGGAGGCCCCCCGCCCTCCTGCCGCGACCTCTGACCTGTCATCTCGTCATCATCTGGAACTTTCTTCTGGGTCTTGTTTTGGGGGGTGGACTTATTCTTTCTGGAAATCTCTAGATTCAGGAATGAGCTTATGAGTACCTGGATTTTGATTTGTATTTCTCTCTAAGTGCCTTTTTTAATGTATATTTTTTTAATAAAACAGAAATGCATTCTCGTACCATCTGTTTAAACTGGACCAAGGCTCTCCGAAAAGGAACCTCAAGTTGCCTCTGACCCCCGCCCTCTGCGCGACCTTCAGGAAGCCCCGAGCTCTGCTCACATCTCTGCCCTGCTCCGTGACTTGCTCAGCTAGCCATTTTTTATATTCCCCGTTTCAGTGTATATGTTGCTTATTTGTTTATTTATTGAGATGTTTTTACAGCCTAAGTGACTGCACGGGGCTGTGTGTACTGCTCCCCGCCAGGAACAATAAAGATGCCACCCAGCCCTGGTCTCTGCCTCTCTTCTTGCAGCTCAGGGGACGGCCTGAGAAAGCCGCTCACAGAAACGACCGCTGCTCCACCCTAGAGGGAATGAGAGAGGACGGGAGAAGTCCAGGCTGTACGAGCCATAGAAATTTCTAGAAGCTAGAAGTGTGGTTGTGAGTGTTAACAGCCCCAGGCCCGGGCAGCGGTGGTCGACCACTGTCCACCTCTGTGACAAAGTACCTGGAATCAACCCAGAAGAAGGAAACTCATTCTGGCTCACGGTTCCAGAGTTTCAGGCCACGGTCAGCCAGCTCCATGGCTTTGGGCCTGTGACGAGGCAGGACCCCAGGGCRGAGCCGCGATGCAGCCCAGAGGCACCTCATGGTGACTGGGCAGCAGAGAAGGAGAGGGCAGGGAGGGGCCATCCCTGTCCCCCCTGGGGGCACACCCAGGATGCCCACTCCTCCCCCAGGGCCCCCTCTCGAGGCTCCCACCTCCCGTGGCCCTAAGGCTGTGGACCCCTTCCACACCTGGCCTCTGGGGCATGGTCAGGATTCCGTCCACCACAGGGTGAGGTCCCCAGCCCGGCCACAGGCCCTATCCTGGCTGGGCTCCCAGCAGCCTCAGCAGCAAGACACCAGCGCTCCCTGGCCACTCCTGCTCTTCATCTCCACTCTCCGAGGTCAGCACCAGCCAGCGCCTACCCCCACAGCCTTCCCCACGTCTCCGAGTCCACCCTCCCCAGACCCGGTGCCCTGGCCTCTCTGCCCCCTTCTCCCGGTGGGTCATAGTGTCTTGAAACACCTCCACCCTCTGTCGACCCCAAGAATGGACCGTGGGCACGGCCCAGCTCTCCAGAGCTGTGCAGGTACCAGGCGTCAGGCGTGGAGTATCTGCCTGCCGGGCGTCTCGCCAGGTCACCGTCCGAAGCCAGGAAGGAGAGTCTAGCTGGGGTCTGGTCCAGGTGGCCTCTCTATGAGACGGACAGAGTCCCACACCCTGCCTGCTGGCCAGGTGACTGTCCATTCCTGTGGGCAGCAGAGGGGAGTGCAGCTGGCCCCCAGGGTGGGGGCTTCCAACTCTGGCCTTACCCCTCACCTGGTCACCATCCTGAGCCACCAGAACTGTGTCTGCTGGATGCCACCTAGTGCCAGGGTCTGCTGGGCAGGACTGCCCACAGACCAGGGGACACACAGACCCCAGGTAACTCCCAGATAGCAACCTTGGGAGTGAGGGTCTCTGGCGGGACCACAGTGGCCTGCAGCCCCACCCACCCCTGCTCCCAGATCTGCCAGAGGGCAGGAGCCCCAGAACCTGAGCCCAACTGCTGTCACTTGGCTTGCTCCTGAGAGTGACCATGGGACAGCAGAGCTTCCTTGGAGAGGGGTCCTGGGCACCTGTCGGGGGCTGGTGCCTGCAGCCTGAGCCCCTGTGTCCCCTGCACTGTGACCAACAGCAGAGACCTTCTGGGTGCACACCCATGCATTCACACATGTGGGCACACACCTCACACACATGTATGTACATATGTGTGTACACGCCTCACAACCCATGTTTGCACACATGTATGCACATATCCATGTACACACATGCCTCTCATACCCAGGCACACACATGTGTTGCACATGCCTCACACACCTGTGCATGCACACACCTCTACATACGTGTGCACCGTGTGCACATGCACATGCAGCAGGGTGCTTGTGCACATATGCTCATATCATGTCCACTCACTCCACAGCAAAAGCATGAACACACGTGAGCATGCAGCCAGCTCACATACAGACACATGCACACCCAGTGCACACACCTGAACCCTTGGAGGGGCTCTAGGGAGATGAAGAGGGAATCTAGCCCTGCGGTCCTACGGAGCCTCAGGAGGATCCCAGTGTTGGGTGGCCATGAAGCCTGAAAGGCCTCTCCCCTAGTGACCCCAGACAGGCCTCTGGTCAGGTAGGACAGAACGTAGAGATGGGAGGGTGGGACTCCCACTGTGGCTTCCCCACTCCAGAGCTCACACTGCCCCAGCCTGAGTCCTGCCTGGCCTGCCTGCTGAGTGACCACGTCTCACATGAGGCCTGGCCCTGGGAGCCACCCACACCAGGGGCTGGTCAGGGGACACCCATAGGGGTGAGTGGACACCCTAGGCCACCTGGGAGGGTCAGGAGTGGAGTCCACTGGGCCTCAGAGTCCAAGAAGAGACCTGAGAGGGCATCCCCAGTCTGGGGCACCCTCCACCTCCCCAGCCCCCATTCCTAGCCAGACAGGAGTCCAGTCCTGGGCAGCCCCCCAGACTGTCCCTGCTCACAGCCTCCCAGAGGCGGCCTCTCTGGGCCTGCAGGCTGTGCCCTGCCCGCTGCCGCACACCCAGTCAGCACAGGAGGGCCTCGCTGTCCCCAGGTCTCCCAGGGTCTCTCCCAAGGCCCTAGCTCAAACTCTGGGAGTCCCTGGAGATGTTCAGGGTCGCATGGGGATGTGCAGCCGTGATCACTGGATTCCTGTCCGCTTCCCACCCATCCACATCCTAGGTGAGGACCCTGAAGGACAGGCACTCTGTTGGGGGTGTGTGCACGCTCCCAGGGCTCCGTGTAGGTCCTAGTGTGCTGTGCCCTGCTGTTGGCTCCCGGGGTGCAGCTCCCGTGTGCTGGCGGCTCAGGCCCCAGCAGGTGTGTGTCCGGGAGGTCACTGCTCCATGATGACCCTTGCTCTGAAGCCCTGCGGCTGCTCTCCAGGGCAGTTAGCAGCCTGTCAGCCATGGCTTGAGGACAGACCTGGAACAGGCCACGGGGCAAACATGCCCAGGACATGGCTGGCTGTGGCCTGAGTCCCTGGAGCTCTCTACGGAAAGCCTGCCCCAAACACCCCACCTCATACCTGGCTTCAGGGAGAGTCCAGAGGAAGCCCTGAGAGCAAAGAGCTGGTGGGGCACCAGGCAGAACCAGGCCGCCATGCCGAGCGGGGACCTGTGGGGACGGTGGGCACTGGCAGACCCCCACCTGGGCCTGGTCACACTAGCGTTGCAAACAGCCTAGCCAAGGGGCCCTGGCCCAGAGCAGAAGGGACGTGGGCTTGGAWTCCATTCAGGGGCAGGACCACACTGGGGGACGTCCCTGTAGGATCAAGGCCCAGACACTGCCTCGGGCAGGAGCGCTGGCCAAAGCCAACAAGACCAAATGCAGAAGTTCAGCTCTTTGCTTTTAAAAGCAACTGCACAGGCAGGGAGACATCCAGRGCCTCGCTGCCTGCACTCCAGCTCCGTGGGGGACAGGAGCCTCGCGAGGCTGACGAGCCCAGGGAGGCCCAGCGTGTTCACAGGGCGTGGCCAGAGAAAGATCAGTGTGTGCCTGGAGCTGCCAGGCCCTCTGCAGGATGTGCTTGACCCTAAGAGGCAGGTTGCGATCTGGTGGAGCAGCCTTGAGTACCCAGAGTGGGTAGGTAGCCTCCCGGAGGACGAGGCCATCTCTAAAGGAATGGGCAGAGCCAGGATGCTGGCTCTGGAAAGGGAGGCCCAGGAAGAGCCCGCACTATCCCACACTGCCCACGCCACATGCAGTCTGCATTTAGTCCCCCCTCTCCTCTGTGGTCTCAAGAGAGGACGTGTCCGTGGTAGAGACCGTGCCGGTGGACACTCCACTCGTCACCACAGCATGAACTTGCCCACAGCAGCCAGGCATGGAGGCCGAGCTTGAACCTGGGGGTTCTGGCTGCTCAGCTGCCTCCAAGCCACAGACCCCAATGAGGGCATTGCGTTCTCTGCAGTCAGGGCCATTGGCAAGGAGGTGACCTGAACCGCCTCTGGTCAGAAAGAAAGAGCAGGACCTGGCCCTGCCCAGGCCCCATGCACCCTGGACCCTGCTGAGTTTCACCCTCACTTCTGGCTGCCACACAGGCCCTGAGCGTGGGGTAAGATGAGTCTGGCTATGACAGAGCCCAGGGCCCTCTGCATGAGGCACCATTTCACTGCCCACCACCCTGGCCATCTGCACTGCAGGAGCCACAGCTGGGCGAGTGAAGGCATGGCGCACACACCGCCGTGGACAATCCTGTGGAACTGAGGGCTAGCCCCTGGTGCACCAATGCACAGATCTCAGGACCCAGGAGGCAGACAGACCCCTGACCACAGCCAGCAGGAAGACTGCCCGTGTCCTTGACCAGAAGGAAGCCTAGCCACAGGGGAGGTCCCCTGCCCCAGATTTCCATGCTGCCCGCTCCTGGTGCCCTGCACCCTGTGGCCTGGGCCTCCCCGGCACTAGGACCAGCTCCTGTCTCTGCACACACTGCTGCTGACTGACAGGTGGCTCCATGCTCACTGGGGAACTCCTCTTCCTGGCCTGGCTGGACTTGGGGGTGGCCTCTGCCTGCTCCCTCCGAGACTGTGCAGATGGGTCCGAGGCAGGTGTCCTCGACTGGCTGATTCAGGACCCAGGACCCAAGAAAGGGAGCAATGAGGAGACCCCAGAAGAAAAGGGGGGGGGGCTGGGAGGGGCTGCTGGGGGACTCTGGCCAGGAACCATGAAGGTCGGGTGGCCCCCAGGGCATCCAGGAATCAGGAGTGGAGGGGGCGGGCGGGGCACTCTGTTCATTAGACTACTTGGCAGGACACCACGGCCCCGTGGACCTGCCTGTGTGTCAGTGTCCCTAACCCTTGGTGGCTTCGTGCTGGAACTTGGCCCTGCACAGGGACCTTATCTGCAGAGTCTCTGCAGATGTCACTCAGTCAAGAAGCTCAGGAAGAGCGCACCTCACTCTAAAGCCCAGTGACAGCCACACTTCTGAGAGAAAGGCAGAGGGGACTGGAGAGGAGGCCCTGTGGGGATGCTGGCAGAGGGGCCACACCAGAGCCGGGGAGGCAGGATGGGATCCTCCCGCGCAGTCCTCAGGTCAGCCGCCCTGAGGGCCCCG